ATGTTCGTTGCATCAGTGGTCCAGGCCCGGAAATGAATTCGCAACAGCCAGAAGGAGGAACCTCAAAGACCAGCGCTGGAGTGGACGCTGCCGGACTACCTCCCGCAAGGCAGTAACAACGAAGATCCGCTACACAGAAAGGGTACCTGGTAGGCTTGTCACGTCCTCTACATGTATGTGGCCCTAGGTTTAGGACTGTATGAATTGGAACATGTAAGCCGCTCAGAGCCCTTCGGGGGTGAGCGGGATACAAAATTGAAATATATAAATAAATAAATAAATAAATCGATGACACTGTCTGACCATCTTGTCCTTAACCGTCCCCGTCTTCTTTGACCTTCAATCTTTCCCAGCATCAGGATCTTCTCCAGGGAGTGCTCCCTTCTCATTTGGTGGCCAAACTATTTGAGCTTCAGTTTCATTATCTGGCCTTCCAGGGAACAGTCAGGGTTGATTTCTTTGAGGACTGACTGATTTGATCTTCTTGCAGTCCAAGGGACTCTCAAGAGTCTTCTCCAGCACCATAGTTCAAAAGAATCTATTCTTCGGCGCTTGGCCTTCCTTATAGTCCAACTCTCACAGCCATGAGCTAGCTCACAGTTTTTTAGCCTCCGGCGCAGACATTTTTGTCTTCGCTCAGGAAGGAGGGCTCCAGAGCAAACTGATTTATGCAGCAGCCAAATCGCTCGCTCACAACTGTAATGCCAACAGCTAACAAAGTAGAATTTTTGCTCACAGGAACCCACAGCTTAGAGGGAGCATTGCTTGGGACCACGGCACGAGGGGAGGAGTGGGTCCTATTCTTCCTTGGTGCTGCTGCCCAGAGCCTAAACAGCCCCGGAGGGAAGTTATTTGCCCCATTTTTGAGCTACATGCATAGTCTGGCCCTCTGAATTTTTCTGTCTGCAAATTTAACAAGTCAAAAACAAATATCACTGACAGCCACTTATTTATTTCAAGGACAGAACCAGAACAAGAAAACGAAGGGAGAATGACTTACGATAGGACCTTGCACAGCTAAGCCTTGGGAGCCTGGTGTCCCCTGTTGTCCTCCTGGACCTTCTGGCCCAACCTGCCCTGGTGGGCCTGGTGCACCCTAGAGCCATTAGAGGGCAGAGGAGGGGAAAGGGAAATACATTATCATCTGAGCATCAGATGTCCTCTAGGTCTGAAATGTCAAATGCTGGGACCTGGTATTGACCTCTAAAGCCCTGTACATAAGAACACCAGAAGAGCCCTGCTGGATCAGACCAGTGGTCCATCTAGTCCAGCCTCCTGTCTCTCACACAGTGGCCAGCCAGTTCCTCTGGAGGGCCAACAACAGGGCATAGAGGATGAGGCCTTCATAAGAGCATCAGAAGAGCCCTGTATAGAGGAGTGGTCCATCTAGTCCAGCCTCCTGTCTCTCACACAGTGGCCAGCCAGTTCCTCTGGAGGGCCGACAACAGGGCATAGAGGATGAGGCCTTCCTAAGAACATCAGAAGAGCCTTGCTGGATCAAACCACTGGTCCATCTAGTCCAGCCTCCTGTCTCTCACACAGTGGCCAGCCAGTTCCTCTGGAGGGCCAACAACAGGGCATGGAGGCCGAGGTCTTCCCCTGATGTTGCCTCCTGGCTCTGGGATTCAAGGACTTGGTGCCTCAGAGTGTGGAGGTTCCCCTCAGTCCCCATGGCTAGTAGCCATTGATAGACTTATCCTCCGTGAATCTAGGTAAGCCCCTTTTAAAGCTGTTTCTTACTGTGGCCATCTGGAAGCAAATTCCACATTTTAATTACTCTCTATTATGGCCTGGGACCAGCATACTTTAAGGACAGCTTTCTCCCGTATGAACCTCCCCACACACTCTGGTCATCTTTGGGGGCCCTGTTTCAGTTGCCCCCACCATCTGAAGCTAGGTGGGTAGCATCCCGAGAAAGGGCCTTCTCAGTTGTGGCACCAAAACTTTGGAACTCCATTCCCATGGAGATTTGTCTGGCTCCTTCCATTGGTGAATTTGCCAGCAGGTGATGACTTTCTTGTTTTGCTTGCTGTTCCTCCAGTAATGGTTATCCCCCCCCCTCCATTCTGGTATTGTATATCTATGCACTTTTATTGAATTGGGATAGAGCAGGTCAAGAAAGAAGAAAGAAAGAATTGGGATAGAGCAGGTCAAGAAAGATAAGCATATGGAGCAGAGGTCCATCAGTGGCTATTAGCCACAAGGTATAGATAGGGACTCTGGGGCAAGTGATGCTCTGTCATCTTGGTGCTTGGGGGGGGGGGGATCAACAGTGGGAGGGCTTCTAATGTCCCGGCCCCACTGGTGGACCTCCTGATGGCACTGGTATTTCTGGCCACTGTGGGATACAGAGTGTTGGACTGGATGGGCCTTTGGC